AGCTAAATATATGTAGGATACATCTTATCAAAGGATATAGTTTTTTTATTAAAAATATACATTTCATTACAAGTCTAGTTAATAATGTGCGAACTAGAGCATATAATTTAATGCAAACTCGTAAAATGTCATTCTTGTTCTATTAGTAACGGACTGATGAGACATATCATCTTCCCATAGAACAAAAAACAATTTGCTACCTCTAGCAATCCTAACCTTTCATTTTTCCTTAAATTTATGCTTTTCGCTTGCTTTACTTCACTAGAAGTTCTAGTTAACTTAGCATTGATTTTTTTAATCCCATTTATGGTGTAATTACCTTTGTTCTAGTTTAATTGTTGCATATGCCTATTTTATGTTTAACATAAGCTAATATAAACCCATAATGTGATAACCCTAATTAGCAAAGATATAATTGTCCCGGTTATTCCGGTTTGATTCTAATTGTACAATGCAAACAAGTTTCCTATTTCATACGCCCTCCATCCATATTACTCCCCCCGTTCCTTGATGTAAGGTGTATAGATTTTTGAGAAAAAGTCCGAAAGTATAAGGTGTATTGCATTGCACCACTCGTTTGGATATATTTTTTAGGAATTTGATTACAGTTCCTTATATCGGGCAAGCTCCTCTATTTCCTCATGTCAATTAGTCAAGTTTAATCTTGCCCAAAACTTGTGAAATTTTCCCTCCACACGGGTTTTTAAATTTTTGTGCCAAAAACTATACACCCTATATCTAGGAATGGAGGGAGTAGTACTTTTAGCTTTATACTAAACCAGTGACAACTAATATGGAACAGAGGGAGCAGTAATTTGGTATATCTTGAATTTTCGTACTTTTAGCTTTAGTTTAATACCTTTGTGCATTAGAATAGCTGTATGTGTGTGTGTGTGTGTGTGTGTGCTGCAAATGTTGGTGTTTCTTTCTTTATAATTTTTCCTTCTCCTAAGTACATGCGCCCCCCATGCATGGGCCGAGATAACATGCTTTCTTTTCCATATATAGGACTATATAAGATAATTTCGAAGTTACTAACTGGTGAGATGATTTAAAAACATAGTGGAACTCTTTTATAGGCACATTAGTTGCTTAATTGTATTATTGTGCGTCTAAATGCGTATTCCCCTAAACTATGTATGCCAATCTATTATCATATACACATAACTCAATAAGAATCTAATCTTATTTAGCCACTCCGCGCATAAAATCAAGAAGAAGCCATTCCTTCTCGTTTATTTACTTTTATCTTTGGTTTTGGAATCCGCTAGGGCCCTAGCATGTACTTGGAGGTCGGGTGCACAAGAAGTCAAGAATTTGATTGAACTCACCCATGCCTCCACCACACCACGTGAGAGAGTGAGCTATCGTTTTATCCCTGATTAATCCCATCGAATGATCGGAGGCCTTTTTGGCGGAAAGATCCTATTTGGCCCCGTCAACTGTATACAAATATCTGCCTGAGGCAATAAATCTGAATTTAGATTGGATATATGGTAGTATAGGTTAGGGGCACGGCACGG